ACTCGGCCCTGCGGCTCCAACAGTGTCGCCCAGACCCTGAAGACAATACCTCTCTCCTCCAAATATCTTGTCTCTTGCTTTATCACGCATCGTCTGTTCTTTTTGTTTTTTACCTCCCAACCCCTAGGCACTAAGTTTATCACATTCCTCTTAAGCTTATCGCATTCCTCAGGCCTCGGCTTGTTGGGCTCCTTATCTTGAGGTTATCTTGAGATGATTTCGGGGCTTTAGTGTCCCCGCGGCCCGGTCCTCGACCAGGCCTCCACCCCCAGGAAGCAGCCCGTGACAGCTTACTAACTCCCAGGTACCTATTTACTGCTAGGTAACAGGGGCATTCGTGGTGAAAGAAACTTTGCCCATTTGTTTCTGCCTCGTGCGGGAATCGAACCCGCGCCACAGAATTACGAGTCCTGCGCGCTATCCACCAGGCTACGAGGCCCATAGGTCCTTTACGAGGACTTACGAGGTCCTTTGGTTTAGTAAGACTCTTTTGTTTTTAATTTGGTATATGTTGTTTTTCGGGTTCGTAGACGTTATCAATCTTGCCTGCGTTGCTGTATAACATTTTGCCTGTCGTCTAGCGGGCCATGATTTATGGTGGTGGGTGGTGGCTTGTCGCCTCACGTTCGCCAGGCGATAAAATATTCTTAGAGAATGTACGTTTAACTGGTTATACGTCACCCGTCACTCTGGTGATGATATGGTGGTGTGGTCTACTTTTTATCTCTCTCTGTCCGTCTCCCCCCTTCCTCTCCCCCCCCACTCCATGCTAACACTACACCCCCTCTCCTTGTTCTCACTACAACCCCCCCCCCCACCCTCACGCCCACTCCTCACCGCCATAAGCTATGACATATTGTGTACCATTTTACCTCCGAGATATAATATCCCTCACCTCCCCCCCCCCCCCCCCTTTCCTCCTCCCTTCACTCCCAGACTATTTTTGTCCACGACGCCATAAAATAGACAAATGTATTGGCTCTGCTTCCCATTCGAATCTGGGAAATAAATATTAAAATAATACAATTTTAATTATAATTCGTTTTCTCGAGGACAGGAACCCTGTGTATATATACTCACCTAGTTGTACTGATCTAGTTGTGCTTGCTGGGGTTGAGCTTTGGCTCTTTGGTCCCGCCTCTCAACCGTCAATCAACTGATATACACAGAAATCACAATAGCGTGATATATCAAATGAACAAATCCACAAGGGCATTGATGAGGGTTCGAACCTACGGACGGAATGTTCCCCGACGCGCTTGCGAGATGGGGACTTTTAGTATCACTGTTTCCTTAGTCACTCTTGTGTTGATGATGATATCCTCATAATGCACCCAGAGTCTGCCAGTGCAGACTACTTATCACTTGCCTCTGTATGACTAACCATCCTGTGTGATGGGGATTTTTTAGCATCACGTAGCTAGCTTTTTGACACATTGTATTCCCCTTCATATAGTCCTGGGCAGCTGCACAAATGCAGATGTACCTAATGTTTAAAAAAAAAAAAATAATAAAAAATCAAATTTGAGAGGGGACGAAGGGGGAAAAGGGCAGAAGAGAGGCATGTTGAAAGAAAGGGGAGAAAGGGAAAGAGGGGGGATGTTGGAAGAGAAGGAAGGAGAAAGATGGAGAGAAGGAGGGAAAGTCTGGGAGAGAAAGCGGAGAGGGAAGGAGAGGATGGAACGGAAGGATGGTGAGAGGGGGGGAAAAGGTGGAGAGCGGGGAAAGGAAAAGAGAGGGGGGGATAAGGGAGGGAGGGAAGGAGGAGTGAGAGACCCGGGTGCCATTACATAGTGCCATTAATGTGCGTTTACAAAGGTGAAATGCCCTTCTGACCAACTTACACATCGGGTGCGTGGCCCAACTTGGGTGGGCCAGGTTTGGCATCATAGCACAGCATGCCATTTAACACAATACCAAAGCTACCCCCACTCTTCGAATTTTGCTTTTCACAATCTGGCAAGACTATTTTTATTACTGTATCGTAAACCATTATGCAATGGTGATGTCAATATTAAACAAAAATCCAATCATAATACTTAGTCTTTAATAGCAAGATACATGCAGTATCTGGCAGGCCAACCGACCCCCTCCAATACTCGCAGCCGTGTCTCGGCCCATGTCTCGGCCCATGTCTCGGCCCATGTCTCGGCCCATGTCTCGGCCCATGTCTCGGCCCATGTCTCGGCCCATGTCTACCAAAGAACCAATCCAGATTTCATAGGCTAACGGAAATTCAGTGTAGATATTTTTTATTTTTTTATCTTAATGAAAGAAATGTTTCTCGTGCTTCTCTCACTCAGTTTCCTCGTGGTTCTCCCCCCCTCCCTCTTCTCATGCTTCCTATTACAGTCCTCTCTCAACCTGCACTTGTGCTATAGGACTCGTGAAGACCCACACGGGCCAGCCGCTGAACGCTGTTGTTAAGTGATAATTCCTGTGATGGTTTTTGAGGGGACGGGAGACTAATGCCCTTACATTAGTACACCTCCCCTCGCTGGTCGTCTGGAACACTGACCTCTCGCCTCCATCTCTCACACTCACACTCACACACTCCTCTCTCTCTCTCTCTCTCTCTCTCTCTCTCTCTCTCTCTCTCTCTCTCTCTCTCTCTCTCTCTCTCTCTCTCTCTCTCTCTCTCTCCTCTCTCTCTCTCTCTCTCTCTCTCTCTCTCTCTCTCTCTCTCTCTCTCTCTCTCTCTCTCTCTCTCTCTCTCTCTCTCTCTCTCTCTCTCTCTCTCTCTCTCTCTCTCTCTCTCTCTCTCTCTCTCTCTCTCTCTCTCTCTCTCTCTCTCTCTCTCTCTCTCTCTCTCTCTCTCTCTCTCTCTCTCTCTCTCTCTCTCTCTCTCTCTCTCTCTCTCTCTCTCTCTCTCTCTCTCTCTCTCTCTCTCTCTCTCTCTCTCTCTCTCTCTCTCTCTCTCTCTCTCTCTCTCTCTCTCTCTCTCTCTCTCTCTCTCTCTCTCTCTCTCTCTCTCTCTCTCTCTCTCTCTCTCTCTCTTTTTTTTTTTTTCTCCCCCCCCCCCCCCCCCCCCAACTATTTTTTAGCATGCTGATACCAGCTTAACGTTCTTGATGATGTTCTGGGAGTTGTTCTACTCCCTAAGCCCGAGGCCTGGCTTGACTTATGAGAGTTTGGTCCACCAGGCTGTTGCTTGGAGCGGCCCGCAGGCCCACATATCCACTACAGCCCAGTTGGTCCGGCACTTCTTGAAGAAAACTATCCAGTTTTCTCTTGAAGATGTCCACGGTTGTTCCGGCAACATTTCTAATGCTTGCTGGGAAGCAAATCACTGATGTAAGTAAATTACGAGCTAGAAGCCTGATCTAACATCATGTCGGGCCGGCACCAACCCATCCAAGCCAAGATTCAAAAGTAGTAGATAGTAGTGGTAGCCTCCCTAGCTCCATTACCCAGTTATTACACCCTACACTAGGGTATGAGCAACGACAAGTGTTCTTATCATTTAGGAAACAGGACTGACCCACTTGTAAATATACACGATCAATTAACCCGTACAATATGCCGAGTACGGGTGGACTAGGGTAGCGGATCTCACCCGGTGAAGCAGGCGTCTGGACCCTTCAAGACCGCCGGGTGGTCGAACATGGATGTTTTAGCGGGTTAGGCAGTTTCCAGTTCCGAATCTCATTACTTCTCTCAGCAGGCCAGGCCTGGAGATCACACCCCCAGTGGGTCTCAACTGGCTACCCAGCTGCACTTGCAAGATTAAGAATGCAACATGTTTCCCATCTGTCTCGTTTTTTATGCAATATCAAATGGAAATTTAAAAAAAAATCCATACTGCAGATTACTTTTGTCTCCTTTTCCCAGCCGCAACTATTCCCTGTCTGGTCGTCACCCCCCCCCCCCCCCACCCCTCTCTGGTCCCTCTCACTTGTCTGGTCGTCGAATTAGAGGGGAATTCAGAGAACATATATGGCACACATTAAAGCACCGAAATTGTTAGCACTGCCTCAAAGCTCTCAAACTGTACTCTAGAGAGGAAACGAGAGACACATCACATGATATATAGATTCTTTCTCTCTCTCCTCCCTTAGCTCAGATGAGCCTCCACTCATTGACCTGTGTAAGCCATCACTTGCTATCCCTTCATCTCCCCCTCACTGCCTCACGGGTCCCTCTCACTGCCTCACGGGTCCCTCTCACTGCCTCACGGGTCCCTCTCACTGCCTCACGGGTCCCTCTCACTGCCTCACGGGTCCCCCGCCCCTCCCTCTGTTATGACCTCATGCGCCACAGCATCGCTGGAATCCCAATAATAATAATATTGCCTGCCTGCCCAATAATAATTTTTTGTCTAGGGTATAAAAAAATGCTAGCAAAAATATTCCAATTTACTGGGTATATAACATAGGTCACCGTAAAAATAAGAAGAAAACTACCATCTCTAAAACTCGCATTCTATCACATTATCTAGCTTCTTAAAGCCTTGCAAGATCATCAACAGCCTTGCAACATCATCCTCAAAACTGCAGACTCTCGTCACTAGCAGACACTAGGCTCTATCCTGGCGCTGTGGGACACTAGCACTTATTGTGCTGATAATACAATTAAAGATGGTAGTGTCACTATCATTAATCAGTGAGGTTCAGGAATCTTTATCGTAACACAGCACAATGGCACCACTCAGGCACTCAGATCCTCAGGTACCCATCTCAATAATACATATAACAGCACCTACCACCTGGCATAAATGATGTACATCAGTAGAAACTGATCCAATAAAGGTACACAGCATACATATATACTAGTAGATCAAATAATCTTATGAAATTGATACGCAGGTCAAGAGCAAGATGCCACACATCCTTCTCCATGGGAAGATCAAAGAGTAGTGACCGCTCAGGGGCCGGACAGGCCGGGAGACAGTTTCCAAATCTATAAATCAGTCGACTCTCCTCATTCAAATATCACAAGCCAGATATTTCCCCTCCCTCTCTACAGCCGACGTACTAACCACAACCCGTGTCTCCTGACAGGTCTGCCGGCGGAGCTGTACTATGTAAGGGAGGGCGTCATCAACAAGTACGCCCTCGAGTTCATTGTCCCAGTACCTGCTAACTTCACCTATATCTACTTCACCTGGAGAAGCCTCATCAAACGCCCGGTAGGTGATTCTCTAGTGTTAGTACTGCTGTTATCTAATCATCTAATGCAATGACACCTGACCTATTGCCCTATTATATCTTTTATAAATATTGAATGGACTTGTACAACCTGCTGCTTTAGTTCATTTCATATTCCCACTATAACGCTTAAAGAAGTCTGTGTAATATCTCTATGAACTCATCTAAGTCTCAAGCTTTCATCCATGTCCCCTTGTATTAGGAGTGTTCATCGTGAACATTTCCTCTTTTTCCACTCTGTTAATCCCCTTAAGTATTGAATACGTCTCTATCATGTCCTCTCTCTCTCTCCCTCTCCTCTTTTCTAGCGACGTCAGGTTTACTTCCTTCAGTCTCTCTTCACATCCCATCATTCCCAATTCTGGGACAAGCCTCGTCGCAAACTTTGAACCTCATAGTTTTCTTACGTGTTTCTTCAGGCTCCGCGATATGGTGGCATACTCTACTCACGTAGCGGTGTACAGCGATCTAAGTGCCTCGTTATTTAGGTTCCTGAATGATGCTCTAACTTTTGTTAGTGTAGAGTATGCTGCTGATGTTATGGTATTCATATGAGCCTCCGGAGTTATATTTGGTGGTACATCCACTCCCAGGTCTTTTTCTCTGGTCTGCCTCTAGGGAGGTAGTTTCTCTTCATTGTGTCCTGTCCCTCTGGTCTCCTGTCATCTGTTCCCATTTCCATCTCTTTACAATTGTTCGTGTTGAATTCTAGTAGTCATTTCTCGGACCAACTCTGCAGCTTGTTTAAATCATCTTTTGGAGAATCTTATAGTCCTTATCTGTCATAAATCTCATTAAGTTTTCATAGTGTGTGTGTGTGTGTGTGTGTGTGTGTGTGGTGTCTGCGCGCGTCTGATTACCCAAGTGCAGTTACAGGATGAGAGCAACGTTCGTGGTGTCCCGCCTTCCCTGCACACACTGTCATATGACACTTTAAGACCACTGACGGTTTTCGCCTCCACCACCTTTCTCACTCAACTTGCTCCATCCCTCTACAACTGTTTGCTAAAGAGAACTTTCACATATGTTTGGGCACCTTTGATTCTTTAGTTGGAATCTATGCCTTTTTGTTTCTTGAAGTTGCAGTTTTCAAGAATTCTTCTTTTATAAATTGTATCGATTTGATACTATTTGTTTATGTAGTGATCATATATGCTCGTCTATAAGACTTAAGCAAATGTAGCACTTCTAAACTCTCCTCGTAACTCTTATTTTTCAGTTTCGGAAGTCGCTTAGTAGCATGTCTTTTCACCTTTTCCAATTTATTGATGTACTTCTTGAAATACGGCACCATACAACCGCTGTATATTCCAGTTTTGGTCTCACGAAAGTCGTAAACAATTTTTGTAATATTACACTGTCCATAAATTTAAAACTATTCTGAAGTTGGAAAGTGTAGCATCAGCTCCTCGCACAATGTTCTTTATGTAGTCCTCTGGTGCCGCCCATCCTCCTGGTTTGGTAGTACTTGTAGTAACGATGAGAACCATCGTACGTATACCGACGAACAACGAAATTATTAAATAGAAATCGGCACGATTGTATTGGACTAACCGGGAAACTATTGTTTTACTTGTGTTGCAAAGACAAACTAAAGTAACCGAACCTTCCTAGGCCTAATACACGATATCTGAGGCCTAATCTAGTACATTTGTGTGCTAAACTAGGCTCTAGGAATATTTAAGTTTGTTTTTTAGCTTAATTTTTTTTTAAGAATTCTTTACTAGTCAGTATACTACTATCTGAAAGCTAAGTACGTACTAATTCGTGACTATTGATGATCGTCAATAGGTACTATATAAACAGGAGGATGGGTTGTCTGGTGAGAGTTTGCAGCTCATAGTTACTCTTGCATCTTTCTCTGACAGAGCTCTTTAAAGCCACTTCCCATAATTTGTAGGTTGTGTGGGGCCTATTTTCTCCTATTCCACGTTCCATAATGTGGTATTTATTCACATTAAATTCCATCTATCAAGTGTTGTTCCATATGCTTATTGCTCTGCATGATACGTTGAAGTGCATGATAATTCTAATTTGCTTATCATCCCTAGTCGCTTAGTATCAGCTAAGTAATTCACATGAAATAACTTCATGTAATTCTGTGGACCTTCTGGTAGATTGTTCATACAGACGATGAACATTACTGGGGCTAGAACTGAACCCTGTTGTCCTCCACTAGCAACATTTTTCAAGTCTGATAAATTGCCTCTGATTACCACCCTCACTTTTCTATCAAAATTGTTTATACATGTCAGGAGTCTACCTGTAAACCCCATCCAGTATGTTCCAGTTTCCAGAACAACTGCTTGTGTGAGTGTATCAAAAGTGAGAGCAGTGAGCGGTAGGTACACCTGGTAGGGTAACATGGGAGAAGAGCTAAGACATCGTTACCTGAACTTTGCTTCAGTGACTTCCATAGGACCCATTGAAGTCGCTCTATATGCCACACACAAGTTTGGCCTCTAAATTCTTTGAAGAGCTGGCTCCTTTAAGGTCCCAAACATATTAGGAGAAGACTGTGTTCTGCGTGTCTGGCTGCCTTGTAAGCAACGTATTAAGGCGTAACGCACGCCTGGTACACACCCGGGGGCGGTGATGAGGCCGCTCACGACGGCTCGCGTCCTCTTAAGAAAGTGATGGTCACGGAATGAAGATTTTTTCGGATCCTCACACGACCATGGTAATTGTATTACTGGTGGAACAACGGGACTGGTATGTGTTGTTACAATTCAAGGGGCAGTGTCGCATTCAAGGGGCAGTGTCGCATTCAAGGGGAAAAATCCATGTAGCGTCACATCTTGAGGGAGTGAAAGAGGGAGAGGCGAAAGTGGAGGGGGAGAGAGGGTAGGGTAGAGGGAGGGAGGGTAGGGTAGAGGGAGGGAGGGAAGGAGGGAGGGAGAGGGGGGCTCCCTAACCCCAGGCAGAAAGAGCATAATGGACCCCCAATCCAGCCCGACACAGAACAAGGGGGTTTGCATAGCAATTTGTCCCTTAACTGGGGACTAATAGGCTAACCAGTCTCTGTCTGGAGCTGAAATAGTAAAACGAGTATCCTTGTTCCGGAAACTTGGCTCCCCCGGGCGTTGTAATAGCCAAGTTTATCGTTGGTGTACCCGTCAACGTTGTGTGTGTGTGTGTGTATGTGTGTATGTGTGTATTTGTATTTGTAATTACCTAAGTGTAATTTCCTAAGCGTAATTACAGGATGAATGCTAAGCTCGTAGTGTCTTCACAGTACTCTTTGCCTTATAACACTTTGAAACTACTGACGGTTTTGGCCTCCACCACCACCTCACTTAGCTTGTTCCAATCGTCTATCACTCTGCATAATACAACTTTTTAATGTTTTTACGGCACCTTTGTTTCCTTAGCTTGAACCCGTGACCTCTTGTTCGTGATGTTGCTGGTTTCAGGAATTCCTCCTTGACAATATGGTAGATTCCTGTTAGAATTTTTATGTGGTGATCATATCACCTCTTTTTCTTCTATCTTCTAGTTTAGACATATTTAATGTCTGTAGTCTCTCCTCGTAACTCTTGTTTTTCAATTCCGGGAGCCATTTTGTAGCATGCCGCTGCACCTCTTCCAGTTTCTTTGTGCTTCTTGAGAGTTGGGCACCATACAACTGTTGCATATTCAAGTTTTGGTCTCACAAAAGTCATTAACATTTTCTTTAGTATTTCACCATCCATATAATTAAAAAGCAAGTCTGAAGTTGGAAAGCGTCGCGTACACTCCTCTCAAAATGTTCTTTGTGTGTTCCTCTGGCGACAGCTTATTATCCAAAACCACCCCTAGGTCTCGTTCTTTATTAGAGTTCTGTAATTCCATTCCACATAATTTGTAAGTTGTGTGTGGTCTATTTTCTCCGAATCCACATTCCATAACACGGAATTTATCCACATTGAATTCCATTTGCCACTTGACGCTCCAAGCACTTATTTTATCCAGATCAATTTGAAGGGCATTACAATCGTCTGCGTCTCCTGTCTTCCCAGTTTCTTAGCATCATCCGCAAACATGTTCAATTAATTCTATATTTCTTTTGGTAGATCGTTTATGTAGACGATGAACATTACCGGTGCAAGAACTGAACCCTGCGGTACTCCGCTAGTAACACTCCTCCAGCCAAATACATTATCTGATTACTGCCCTCATCTGTCAGTTAGAAAGCTTTTCATCTATGTGTGTGTTTCTTCAAACACTTCTAAAACCTTCATTATCTCATCATCAAGCTCACTTCCTTCACCATTCCATCACCACACGTGAATCTCACACCGGCTTTTCTATGCATCTCTAAGTTTCTACGATAATTCTTGTGCCTTTTACCCTTACACAAGTGAACCCCGGCCTCCTGTGTGTCTGTATCCCCACCTCTCACCCTCAGCCTCTCTGTTGTGTGTGTATCGCTGACATCAGCCGTGTGTGTCTGCAGCACACTGGCACTATTGATCTGTGTGTACCCGCAGATGCAGTACATGGCCCACATCGAGTACGACAACGGGGAGGCCATGGCGCTCCCGCAGCTCAACATCTCCAACAAGGGCCTCGTACCCGCCCGCCCCGACACCTTCAGGTACGTAACTCTTAACTCCTGGTGGGGTTTGGGAGGGGGTTCTTCCTGACTTGTCCCATAAAATTAGGTTCAAAGAAATAACAGGTAAAGTTGGACGGTTGGTACTGAATTTCTTGATAAACAGATGGCGAAGACTAACAGTGAACCAAACACAGTTCAGTTCGAGTACCGTGGAGAGCTTAAGTAACCTAAGTTACTGTCGTTGTACAGCAAGATATTGTTCATGCACCGCTACTGTGTCAGCTGTGTGTGCTGGGTCTTTATCCTTCATGGTAGGTCTTCATCTTTTATGAGCCGGTGAATGAAATGTTATTTGCACGTTTATTGAGGTTTGCTATTGATATGACTGGCACGTGGACCACCCAATACCTCCACGACTCGAGTGATACCCCAGGAGAGGTTGTCAGACCCAGTTGAGCCTGGGATATTTACTTTCTATTTCATATATATTATACCACATATGGTGGCTTATAACTAGCTACAGTAAGGTTAGTAGTACAAATGTTATGATAAACATAGGTTAGTATAAACATAAAGTGTGCCTCAACGGTGCGGTTATGGCCTGTAAGGCTGTGTGAATGGTTCCTCCAACAGATTAGTGTGTGATACATGTAGTAGAGTTGTGCAATGGCGGCTGGCACTCGTGTGGCGTCTGTGGAGCAGCAAGGGTATGAAAGTGTCACAGGTTATGTTGGCCAGCTCACCTCTTCAGTATCTTCAGATCACAAGTTTACCCGCCAAAGGAATGCAATGTAAAAATTGACAATAACATATACAGTACAGCTGTGACATGAAATATTTGTGTGTGTGTAGTAAAGAATTCGATTCACTTTGTTTGGGGTGACGCCCCACACTATAACCGAAATTATATTTATTTATTAATAATGGGCCCTTAAACTATAGATATTGCACAAATCGGATACTATGGTACTCCCGTTGTTGTAGAGGTTGCTGTGCACGGCACTAAGGTAGAATAGTCTATCGTGCATGAAGCATGTCGCAAAATCTCTGAGAGCACATGTCTCGTGTCTGTTTACATTTTTCTGAGACAAAGACGCCGCCAGCCCGAGGCGGTGTTCCAGTAATATTAGGTTCCAGTACTCTGCCACTTTTCTAATTTTATTTAACAATAGCAAGGAAGCCTGGGGTATATGGTATAATTATAGTCAAAACTATTAAGTATTATTAAGGAATCGTTCAGGACCCTGTATACCACTTGTGTAAGACCAATCCTGGAATATGCAGCTCCAGCCTAGAGTCCATACCTAGTTAAACACAAGACAAAGTTAGAGAAGATTCAGCGGTATACCACCAGACTCGTCCCGGAATTGAGAGGAATGAGCTACGAGGAAAGGCTAAAGGAGCTGAACCTCTCATCCCTGGAAAACAGAAGAGTAAGGGGAGACATGATAACCACCTACAAAATTCTCGGGGGAATTGACAGGGTGGACAAAGACAAAATCTTCAGCATGGGTGGGACACGAACAAGGGGACACAGGTGGAAACTTAGTACCCAAATGAGTCAGAGACGTTAGAAAGAATTTTTTCAGTGTCAGAGTAGTTAATAAATGGAATGCACTAGGAAGTGATGTGGTGGAGGCTGACTCCATACACAGTTTCAAATGTGGACATGATAGAGCCCAGTAGGCTCAGGAATCTGTACATCAGTTGATTGACAGTTGAAAGGCGGGACCGAAGAGCCAAAGTTCAACCCCCCGCAAGCACAAATAGTCGAGTACAACCAGGTGAGTAGTACACACACAAACACATTAAAGAAAAAAAGGAACAAGATAGTAAAAAACAGAAAGACTGCGATTTTACCGGGAGAAGTTTGTGGGCCTCGTCAGATACAAGCGACAGCTGCAACCAATTAAATCTTGGATGATAAAACCTGCTGTCTGAAAACTTAATGTTTCCAAAAGTTTCCTTTCAATTGGCGAACATCGAACGATTCGAAGCCGCTTCTTTCGCCTTGTATTTTTTACGTAATGATCTATAAAAGGCAAGACATGAAATCTCGCGCCTTCCCTCCCTCCCAGCAGTGTTTCCTCCCTCATACAACGTTGCTGTTCGTTAATGTTCACTGAATCATGTGACGGAAAGTGAGAGATTGTGTATTTCCTCGAAGCTATTTGGAGGCCGGTGGTAGTATCCAAGGCAGCAGGCGTTACCTCTCTGGATAACAACACCGAACTGCTGGAAAGGAAATCAAGTGTAAATATATCTATCTATAGAGTTTTTAAAATGAAATGTGTCTTACCTAACTCTGGACGTGAATGATGGTTGTTAGAAGGCTTGTCATAGGAGTATTGGTGTTGGACCCATTGGACTATATATCATATATATAGTACCTTCAACTGTCCTGGCTCATATATACCCTTTTTCTGATCCATTGAATCAATGTCCTCTTCTGCGTTGCATTCTTCCCATGGTGGTGTTAATAGTTTCATATGTAATGGAAATATATTAGTTCATTACATATTTTGATATAAAATTCTCCTGATTGGATTAATTTATTAGAGTCCCACCTCTCATTAGTCTAATTGCCGAAGTCTTGTTTTAGTTCCGAAATTCTATCTCCGATACTCTGAAAGTTCCGTTCCATTCTCACTACCTTAATCGTAGCATTTTTCGCGTGTCTTAAAATTATTTTTGTCATTATTTTTTTGGCAAGTTCGTCATTGTTTTCAGCCTCGCTTTTCCAAAGGAAGAAATGACCGGTGCAGCTTAATCAACGAGTAATCAAACAGTACTGACGTGCGTTCCACGTCACACAGGTACTCACTCCTCTTTCACTTCATTACTCTTTTGTCTCTCCTACTCTTAACCCTCTCCCCCTATGTCCTTTCTCGATCACGCATAATATTATCACAGGTTAATTAGGCCACCACGGCAGCGATGCGCCCTCTGGTGGTGGGGCGGAGAGTTTCCTTACGACATGCTAGGTCACAGGTCACAGGTGACTGACACGTGAGGTCAGGTCACAGGTGACTGACACGTGAGGTCAGGTCACAGGTGACTGACACGTGAGGTCAGGTCACAGGTGACTGACACGTGTCACATTATAGCAACCTCGGGCAAATATTAGAACACGTGGTTCCGGATATGCACAGGTAAATCATTCCCTACGAGACAAGAAGGCATTGCAGTATGTAGAAAGAGTAGCGCTTAATTGCCTTTCCGACCAGGAATTAGGCTCGAAGAATAAAATAGCTGAAAAAATTATTGCGTCATTGATAAATATAAAGTAAAATATGCTTCAGAACGTCTGTTAAAACTTTGCTTTACTAAGTTTAGTCACTACGAATGTGATGCCTCTTTGCACTTTTTGAGGATTCACGCTTCCACCAACCTTCTTTTTCGTCAACTTCGCTACAAAAACTAAGGAAGAGAGAAAATAAAATAGAAAGGTGAAAGAAAGTCTTTTAGCTTTCTCGTCTTCCATAAATTGCTGGAATACCCCGTGAGAGTCGCTATATTTCCCTGGATTTAGCGCGAAAATTCCCGCCAATGTTTTACCTTCCTGGCCAATTTCCCGGGGAGATACGAGGGCTCCTGTAGAGGGTTTACTGGCTCCAGTGCTCCTCTTGACACATTCCTAATACAAAAACAAAGTTTTCTTCAATATTTATATTTTCTTTCTTTGCTTTCACCTTCAGTATATTTCTCTTGCAACTGCTTTTAGACTCTTCAGTCATGGTGGCTTATCTCTTTCTCCTGATACTTTCATTACCTCTACATCGGAAATATCCTGAGATAAAAAAAAATGGGCCGGAAAAAAGGTAAAAGGATTTAAAATTGCTACAAGATGATTTAGATAAGCTTATAAAGTAGACGACAGATTGGCAGATGCAGCTTAATACTGACATATATGATGGGCAGGTCAACAACGACTAAATTGCCAAATCTGAATATGAAAATGATTATAGTGTGAGTAGTAGAGATCTTGAGGTAAACAATTATTGCATGAAGGTAGAAAACATTGTGAAGAGAATTCTGGCATCCATATCTAGCAGTGTTGCCAGCAAGACATTGAATGTTTTCCCACCTAATGTTATCTAATGTTTAAGACATCTAATGTTAGATCCCATTTAAATTATGCAGTCCAGCTCTTGTCACCGTACGATAGAATGGACATTACTTAATCATATACAGAGAAGGATGACAGACAAGTAATTAGAAACCATTATTGTGAAGGGGGGATTAAGACAACTTTGTGTAAAGTAAAGGGTGACTTAATGTTTATCTATAATGTGTGTATTAATTCTAAATACACATTGGTTCGGAGTCTGGTTTGTGGCGAGTGGCGCCACCTGGCCACCAATGCATGAGGCTGTGGCTGCCATGGCAACAGCGACGCCCGAGAGCTCCAGGCTGATAAACTCGGCGGAAAATTGTGTCTAGTTCTCTGTTTATTTAAAGTTGCGTCCACGCTTGAACGTCACTATTATGTTGTTAGCCAAGATAAAGTGCTCACGTTGCCCCTTGTTGTAAACAGTGCTCACGTTGCCCCTTGTTGTAAACAGTGCTCACGTTGCCCCTTGTTGTAAACAGTGCTCACGTTGCCCCTTGTTGTAAACAGTGCTCACGTTGCCCCTTGTTGTAAACAGTGCTCACATTGCCTTGTTGTAAACAGGCGGTTTTTGACGATGTTTACACTGTTAGGGTTTCATTATACGCCCTTTTCCTGTAAGCATTACTGGCTGTGTCTGTCTCTGCGTCTCTCTCTTGTGTGGTTATATAAAGTTTGCTTAAACTTTAAACTAACTTTATAACTTCTTGTCATCACAACTCTGTACACGAATGTCTTGTGTTTTGTTGGTGTTTATAGTGTGTTTTGTCATGTCATTCACCTATGCTCTGTGTCTATAGAAGAGAATGTCTGTGTCGTCTGTCCATGGTTAGAGGCCGGAGGCTTGGGGCTGTCACCATAGTTTTCAAGATGACATATGGGAGGTGTGGGACTGTGTGAGGGCGGAGACACGGTGGGTTGAATAAAG